CAATGAACACCAAAATATAGCATGCATGACTGAATTGTCAGGCTGGCAACGTCATTGATTTAACGTGTTTAAAGCACGCGACAGCGTATCTGATGATCAATGACCATCAATTGTAATGTAACAATCTTTTCTTACCTTCATTTCCCCTGCATCCTCGTTTATTCCTTCTTGAGTTTGTTTAATCTCTTCAAGACTTTTCTAAATAACAATATTCGAAGGAGGGTATTAAAACAATCGCCTGTGTTCTTAAGTCTCACTAACGTTCATTTATTATGAATCAGCTTCAAACCGGTTTTTGCACTGTTTGATGTTTTACAGCTTGAATCCTTTAACATTTACTAAGGCTGCGAGAGCCCATAAACTGCGCATGCCTGCTTTAGTAATGCAGCAGTGTACTGAGCAATGTTTACTCCACTTTTACTTTTTTCATACCGAATGATAGAAATATTTTTATCGCCTCATCTTTTATCGCCGCTTTAGTCAATCTAGTTCAGGAAACTATTTGTTTGCTTTCAATTAGCCAAGGTTGTTGCATGCATGCCATTTCTGGCGTTATATGGAAATGGTTATGGAAAAACGATACTCATTGTCCTATGGAACGGGAAAGAGGCATTGTCATCTGGAGAAAGTGATCACCTTTAAGTCATCTTGTCTTGCCTCCATTTTATCTTGTTTTCTTGCCATTTCAAGCATTTCAATTTTCATCTTATCTTGGGACGGTGTTAATTGCTGAACACTTGCCTAAATTACAGTACGATAATTGAAACATTTTCTCTTTGGTGACACGATTCAATTATCCATTTGACTGAAGATATATAATCTCTGAAATGATTATCATAGTTCAAATTTAAAACAGAGAACATATTGGGATTTCAGTGTTGATATACAATATCGAAGCAGAGTCTTGCGAAACCACTTGTTCTTCTTAATTTGGCCTTTGAATTTCCTCTTGGGGGCGCTAGTGAAGCTGTTAGGCTTCCTTATCCAGCCAATGCAATTAATTATATTATCGAGCGACAATTTCAGGTCAAAAGTGTATTTGTGAAAAAATAATAAGTATTAAACGCAGTGGCGTAGCCAGCCTGATGATTTAGTCATGCTATGTAAATTTTATGTTTTTATTATTATTATTTATTTAGAAATTCATTCTTTTCACAGTCAATGAACACCAAAATATTAGCATAGCATGACCGAATTGTAAGGCTGGCAACGTCATTGATTTAACGTGTTTAAAGCACACAACTGATGATCAATGACCATCAATTGAAATGTAACAATCTTTTCTTACCTTCATTTCCCCTACATTCTCGTTAATTCCCTCTTGAGTTTGTTTAATCTCTTCAAGATCTTTCTAAATAACAATATTCGAAGGGGGTATTAAAACAATCGCCTGTGTTCTTAAGTCTCACTAACGTTCATTTATTATGAATCACCTTCAAACCGGGCTTATTTTGCACTGTTTTGATGTTTTAGAGCTTGAATCATTTAACATTTACTAAGGCTGAGAGAGTCCATAAACTGCGCATGACTGCTTTAGTAATGCAGCAGTGTACCGAGCAATGTTTACTACACTTTTACTTTTTTCATACCGAATTACAGAAATATTTTTATCGCCTCATCAGGGTCATTTTAAAGATAGGTTCAGGAAATTATTTGTTTGCTTTGAATTAGCCAAGGTTGTTGCATGCATGTATTTCTGGCGTGGTATGGAAATAGTTATGGAAAAACGATACTCATTGTCCTATGGAACGGGAAAGAGGCATTGTCATCTGGAGAGAGAGATCACCTTTACGTCATCTTGTCTTGCCTCCATTTGATCTTGTTTTCTTGCCATTTCAAGCATTTCAATTTTCATTTTATCTTGGGACGGTGTTAATTGGTGAACACTTGCCTAAATTACAGTACGATAGTTGAAATATTTTCTCATTGGTGACACGATTCAATTATCCATTTGACTGAAGATATATAATCTCTGAAATGATAGTTCAAATTTAAAACAGAGAACATATTGGGATTTCAGTGTTGATATACAATAATTATCGAAACAGAGTCTTGCGAAGCCACTTGTTCTTCTTATTTTGGCCTTTGATTTTCCTCTTGGGGGCGCTAGTGAAGGTGTTAGGCTTCCTTATCCAGCCAATGTAATTAATTATATTATCGAGTGACAATTCCAGGTCAAAAGTGTATATGTGACAAAAATATTAAGTATTAAACGCAGTGGCGTAGCCAGCCTGACGATTTAGTCATGCTATGTAAATTTTATGTTATTATTATTATTCATTTATTTAGAAATTCATTCTTTTCACAGTCAATGAACACCAGAATATTAGCATAGCATGACTGAATTGTCAGGCTGGCAACGCCATTGATTTAACGTGTTTAAGGCACGAAAACCGGACTCAAAAAGGACTTAAAAACTGGCGGCCAATTACCTTCAACCGATTATAACTAGACTGTCAAAGGTACTTCCTAGGTCGCACGATTAACGATAAAGCCAGCTTATAATACAAGATGCAATTTTTTATGCCAATGAAACCGAACAAAAACTACCTATAATAACAATCGATCAATTAATAGCGTTTGACCGAGTAGACCACAGATTTTATTTCGCACACTAGAAAAATTCGGCTTCGGACCACCATTTATCAAGTGGATCAAACTTCTGTATAATTCTGTTTTCAACTCAGAAAAAACAACGGTTGGATGACAGATTTTGTAAATATAGAGCGAGGACTGAGACAGGACTGCCCCTTAAGCATGCCACTGTACATATTGAAGGCTGAAATTCTAGCAATACATCTGCGCAAAAATGAGAAAGTAAAAGGCCTCCGGCTACCAAATTCAGCAGGGAAAGTCAAATTATCGCAATATGCGGAAAACACAACAATCCTTATGAGCGTGGCTCAGGGGCAAAAATAAACGTAGAAAAATGCAAAGGACTTTGGACGGGACATTTTCGCGACAGAACAGACCAACGTTTCGGCTTTGAATGGTATTACGACTGCATACCTGCATGAAAAACTACTAGGTATCAACTTCGGAAACGTAGATTGTACAAGCCTCAACGTAGATAACAAAATACAAAAACTTGAGGGGATTATCAATGCGGGTCACACCGAGACTTACGCAACAAAGGCAAAGCGCGCTAGTAATAAACGGCCTATACTGACATCATGGGCGGATCTAATGGTTGTCAGATGAGTGACGCGACTAAGTCAAAAATTACACAAGTGCAGGTCGAAATATTTCAACTTCAATCAGTGAAAATAGTCATGCGATAAATTAACAGTCCAGTTAAATGTTATGAAGCTTCATGCAGTTGCTGGTCACAGACTTTTGAGTCCTCGGCAAATGAGTCATAATTGCGATGCCCGCTTGAATTTTTCCTCATCGACTTCTGATTCTAGGCATTTGATTGGCTTAGCTTGCCTTATCATTGCGGGGGTCTGACTCATTTGTCAAATTTAAGCTTTCCGATTGGCTGGTGAAAGAAAAATATTGATTTCTTATTGGTTTGCTTTATTTGACTTAAAGGAAAAAATATATCCTTTTCAAGTAAATAAGGAATATTGAAAAATTTCTGGATGTTTGTCAGCGGATGTTTTTAAAAATCTGTTGGACTTCTGCTGCTCGATCTCGCCATTTATACGAATTTGTATTTTTATTTTATTAAATGGCATTTTATTGTAATGATTTGAGGTTCCTGCAAGGCAAAATAATACAGATCTTTGTCAGGCGGTTCACGCTACAAATAGCGAATACGTCGAATAGCTTTCAGTTTTCGTCTTGTCGAGTAATATGGATAATTCCGTTACCTCGTGTGCTCGTGTGCTCATAAAAATAAGAAATCCACTGAGATAAGGTAAAAGATTCATGTCGATGTTCATATAAACAATACTCCTATAAGTTCGTATGAACTATAATCCTAAAATTTGCTATGTTAACTGCATATTTGAGCGTTTTTTGTATTAGCATATATTTGCATTCCCCCGTCGTAGTTCGTTCATATAAGGTCGATTATTGTATTGTTTATTTGTATCAAGTATCAACCAAGATTTACTGTATGAATTTACGTCTAACAAACAGCCAATGCATAAAGAAGATTTATACATTTGTAAAATCTTGCAATTCATGTTTATGTCAAACAGTACAACGTAATCATGATTACCCACCAAACCAATATGGCAATTATAGCGCGTTAATTATACCCAATATTGTCCTATACTGTGACACTTACTATATATTGTCCTACTGTGACACTTACTATAAAGTGTAAATGGCATTAAGCACATAATATTTGGCATATAGCATATCTTGGAGCAATACTAGCTTATGCATGCTGTAACAGTTATGAATATCATTACAACCTACGAATTGACCGCATTCATGTGTTTATTCCATGGATGTAACTTCCTATTATTGCCTATTTTTTCGACACACATGTTCCCCTATTAAAACTGAAGGCTCAGTAAACTTTTAAACATTTTAATGCGTACGTTTCGCGCATAATACTTGTATAAATTTCGGCTTCAGATGATAAGTTAATAATTTTTGAAATTTCATTATTCCAGGGGGGAGAAAATGACCCACCTCCCCGTTTTCACTTCGGATAATTTTGACAAACGTGCGAAAAATCCTAGATCCGCCCCTGGTTCAAGTGATTATTTCTTACGCCTTGGCAATTGGGCGAGTATTTATCTGTACTGTTAACATTGATGACTGATTCAACTTATTATGTACTATGAATATATGCAAAAATAAGAACGTTATCGTTGAAACAAAATTTACGACCTACACTGAAGAAAGCAGGAAGTGAAGCTAAATTTTGATTCTAAAAAGAAGCGAAACTTTGGGGGGGGGGGCGCTTTTACATGCATTGAAAAAAATTGTAACAACTTTTTTGTCATCTTTACACTGAAAACCCGGGAGGTTTTCAACTTAAAGAGGGCGATATGTGATATAAGCAATTATGCACGGTCATTGCACAACTAAATAATGAAATATTGTGAAACAATTATTGTAATTTTGCCTAGTACTAATAAACGTATGTATTTTGGCAAAAAAAACATTGTGAGACAATGAACAATGCTTAATTGTTAGACACTTGACACTCGGAAACGGTGAATAGTGATTAATTTAGTCATTAGTTAAAGTTAGTGTGAGAGGCAACAGCACAAGCCGGAGGCACAGTTTTTAATACATTTCTATAAAAAAGTGGTTCTAATCTAATATATGTTACAAAGATACAAAGAATAGGGGTCGTGTAACAGTATGCAAATTCCGGCGGAATTAGAATGTTAATTTTGTCACAGCTAACCCGCTAGCAGGCGCGCACGCCGTACTATGTATTATATGCACAGTACTGTCCAGAAATAACCTAACAAAAACCGCGGTTGAACCGAGATCAGACCAAGGTCGAACCGCGGTGAGACGGAGGTTAATCCTCGGCCTAACTCGGTCTGACAGACATTTCTTAAGATTTTTTCAATTTGAATAGTGTGTTGTCGTTCTCACGAAAGTACTTTATAATGGTCTTACCTTCATTTTCTTTACTTTATCGTATATTTGATCATGTCGTCTTTTGAGTTCTGTCACCTCGCCTCTCATTTCATCTTGAATTGAATTCGTGAAGGTATGGATTTCTTCGGAACTATTGGTGACTTCATTCAGTTCCTGCCTTTGTAAATTCTGATCATCCTCGACTTCGTCTAGTAATGTACGAATTTGTTCACAACTATTGACGACTTCTTTCAGTTTTCGCTTCTGTCTTCTCTGATTACCTTCCATTTCATCTAAATCATCATGAATGTCAGCTATCTTCTGCCCGTATACATTTTGAGTTTCTTCCAGTTCCTTTTGTTTATCGGTGAATTCTTTCTGTCTTGCTTTGATAATCGTGAAATTATCCTTCATCTCTTCTTGACGAAGTTTTATATCTTTTAAGCCCGAAATATTGGCCCCGCCAAGCTGACAGAAACTCTTCTTGTGTTTGTCTTCATCTTTGGCGTTTACTTCAAGGTAACAATCTCCACACGTTATTGGACGGTATTCACAATTGCTCACATGATTCTGCAGATTTCCAAGTTCAACCTGTTCGGGACAACCTCGATTGCTGTGATCACACTTGATTCTCAGCTCTGATAAAAGGTTCTTGAGGTTTTTTCCAGGACATTTCAAAGTTGCCAAAGTGAGGTGTTGCCGACATTCTGGGCACGTTTGGGAATTAGGAAGATGTTGAGATATGCAATTGAAACAAAATTGATGTTCTTCTGCCTGGCATAATCGTGGCTCGTTTAACACACAACGGCAAATGCAGCATTTAAAACCATGAAGAACTCGATCAATGAAACGGTCAGGATCGTACCCTTCACCCATCAGCAATACGTTCACATGAATCTAAAACATATTTACAATGAACAGTCTTAAAAGGAGTTATTACCATACATTACTCCTATAGCCCGGCTTCCATTACAATCATGTCAAGCTGCGGAATATTACTATAACCAGGGACATGGTGTGCGGATGGTGTGCGGCTGGTGTGCGGGTGCTGCACTAATAGGGAGCCTAAGATTCACGACGCGGCGAGCTCGACAAAAAACAAAGAAAACAAAGAAATACTACACGCAAAACAAAACTATGCATAACTTGTGGTTCCAGAACAGCGTTACCGTTCCAGAACAGCGTTGTCACGACGCCTTCAAATGAGGCAGTATATTTTAAATTAACGGCTTTTTGACCACATGAATGCAGTTGAAGTCATAGCTGTTTTACAACTTATATGAAACTGCGATATCAGCTAAAAATCTGTGGTCAGTGCGTATATATGATAGGGCGGTGAAACGGCACAATAGTCCAGCCTCGCACTAAGGCGCTTTTTATGAAAACAAAGGTTATAAAGGTTGCATTCAGCTAATGTATAGAGATCGGTGGCCAAGTATCGCGCCTGGTAGAAAATGTGTCGAATTTTGGCATAGTGTCGATTTCCGCAAAATGTGGAATGATTTTTTCTTTATAATATACGGCTATTTTTGAACATCTTATACGCCAAATATGATGTTGCGCAGTACCACAGATTCTTCCTTTTTTCAATTAATCAAATAATATGTTTTGCTGGTTACGATAACGTATATTTAATGCGTTGAATGTTATTATTAATGTTAATGTTATTCGAGGATTCTAAACGCCAAAACTGGACATTCATCTATTGTAAATATATATCTTTGAGTGCTAATTTGCATATTCATAAAATACCAGCCGAATTATAAGGCAACAATTTTTAACACTGGATGGTATCATAGTGTCGACATCTGTCGGCGGTCTTTCATTTGAATTAAAACGTTTTAACCTATATATGTTTTCCTAATGTACTGCATAGGTTCTGCCCTTTTATCGTGACGTTTTAGGAGGTTTATGTTGACAACTTCTAATGTCACATGAACGTAGGTAAGAAGGAAAATCGTATCATTCTGGGAAAGAAAATAGAGATGATTCACGTCGTGTAATAATCGACTATTGCATGGATAATGCGTATTTGCCAGCTACATTCGAAAGCGTTGCTTAGGTTTATAGCGTAACCGCAAATACTGTTTCAAAAATTCGTTGCTTTAGAATCGTTAGCATGTCAAAAAGTGGAGGCAATTATACGAGAAAATTTTCGAACTGTCATTTTGCAAACTATTTTTTTTAATGTTTCGTAAACAAAATATGCGGAAATGTTGAATCAAATAAAATGATACAAACACAGGGAAAAGATTGAAATAATATCAGAAGAAAATATAAAAAGTTCAGGACAATCGGAAAAAGGAACAATTCGTAGTTTATAATTCTTGAGGTGGTATAGGTGTCTATTCTGCTTATTTCGTGTTTGCTGTAAAAATGCATTATTTTTTTTTATAAGTATGAACTTGGATGTCGTATTGTGAAGATCTAATCGACTATTGAAGGCTTTACACCATCTTTTTAACTTCAAAAAGAGTTCTTGGAGTTTTTAAAAAAGTGTTATTTGCAGTTTCGATATGACAAATATCACTTTAAAGCTTCGACTTTCGTCGAATTCGACTAAAGAGTTGACTTCGTCGAATTCGACTAAAGAGTTGACTGCAATCTCTGCATAAATTCAAAAATTGGAAAACAACATTGGACATTTAATGCTTGGGGATTTAAATTAGTTGTGCAGTTTTGAAGGTTTAGCTAAAGGCCGGAAGGTCTAGGATTTTCGGCACATTTGTCAAAATTGTCCGAGGTAGAAATGGTTGGTTTGGTGCATTAATCATGAGTACGTTGTAATGCCAGAAATAAACATGATTTTACAGAATATTATTTATAAATATTCTGCAGGCTCCTAGATCTAGTATAGTTATGCATTTGTTGTTTAAGTCTCAAGCTCCTAAATATATGGATCAAAGGAAATAGGTTGTAAAATAATGGTCATTGTCTGTCCTATAAATCAGTTTGGTTGAGATTGTCTTGCAAGAATTTAAGTATTGATTACATTAATAAGAGATGACCAGTATGAACTATGAAATGAATCAAGTGTATTTTTTATGTAGGTAATAACTGGATCTGGCTCTGTGTGTGTTATTAGAGAAATTCCAATGGTCACATCACTTTATATTAAAATATTTGTTGCAGGTTGCTCATATAAGGTAAAGATGGGTTATAAGAAAAATGCAGGTTGAGCTTCAAGCTCTCAAATAATTTAATTTTTACCTTTTTTACCTGACATTAACTATGGTATGTTCTCCCTCAATAATATAGATAATCTAATATACAGCCCAATACCCTGTATGTATATTGTACCAGGCTGACTGCTGCCTTGACACATCTGCACATGTTTCAATTGCATTAAAATAAACCAGTGCAGCTTTGCAAACCATGTGAGACATTTTCATAAAAAACCCCAGAACTATTAAAATAATTAACAGACCTTACCAGTACCATTTATTCATTTTAACACAATGGCCTCATTTAATTAAAAATAAGCATTTTCCTTATAACCCATCTCTACCTTATATGAGGCAACACCTTTTTGGCACAACCCACTAAGCGTTTTCGGCAACAAATATTTTGATACAAAGTGGTGTGACCATTGGAATTTCTCTAATAACACACACAGGGCCAGATCCAGCTATTACTTACATACAGAATACCGCTTGATTCACTTCATAGTTCATGCTGGTCAGCTCTTATTAATGTAATCAATACTTAAATTCATGCAAAGGACTAAATTAGTAAAACGCGGACTGGACTAAATTAATAAAACGCGGACTGGACTAAATTAGTAAAACGCAGACTGGACTAAATTTGTAAAACACGGACTGGACTAAATAGGTAAAACGTGGACTGGAATCAATAAAATTTCTTTAATTGTGATTTATTATAGCCTATAGTTTGCCCAAAAATTTCTCAATGCATGCCAGAAACTGTTTTACCGAGAGCACTCCGTATGGTTCCGATCGACGTCGACGAAGGACGACGCCACTACCCGCCAAAATCGAAAGTCTTGGTGCTTGCGTCCATTGTTTAAACATGGAAGCAAGCTTCAAAATTCCGACATTGATAAAAAAGCCCAAACTAGGGATCCAAGGATAGTGCAAAGTTTTCATGCCCTGTAATACCTAAACAACCAGACGTTTTACCAACATAAACATTTTGACACATTAATCAAAAGGAAATTACTCAAAGTATACTCATTAAATTATATTAAATTATAATTTTAGTTGCTCATGTAAGCCAGGCGCGATTTTCTCAGTTTAGTCTCTTTTCTTCGTCAAACAACTGTGACTACATTCACTACATTTACATGATGGCACCAATTTATCCGTCATTTCATAAGAATAGCTAAAATAGTTGCGTTGTAAATAATGTAAATAAACCACGGTGCATATTATGTCTATGATATGGATACTTCGACGCGTAAATCGATACAAAAATATATACTTATAATCAATACTGTGTACCGCCAAAATGATTTGATTACTGCACAAAATGTCCGTTTTGTATAGTATCATTTATGTACTTTATGCGGTATACCAGGTATCGACTTGCTATCGACATAATATAAATTCGTGTAAGAGATCTATCAATGCATAAACAACAGTCCGTCGTTTATTCCTAACCTCTTAGCTCTATTGATGGAATAAACCTTCCAAATTATATTTGTGTTGAATTGAATGCTGGTAATTCGTAACATAAGATGATAAATTGCGTAGATTCTGAAATAATTGCTCGATTTTTACGCCCGGAATGTTTTGAAGCAATGCTCGTCGCTCCTCGTTTCTTTACATCGTGAGTAATGTTCAAGGCTCTACGCTTCCTTTCCAAAACTTTGGGAAAGTATATACGACTTTTTAAATCTCTTGTTGTGCTAATAATTATAAAATTAAAGAAATTTTATCGATTCCATTTTTACTAATTTAGTCCAGTCGATCCGCGTTTCACTAATTTAGTCCAGTCCGTGTTTTACGAGTCCAGTCCAGTCCGCGTTTTACCATATGCCTCGCCTGCATGAAGCAATTAACATACATTTCCAACAGTGAATTTTTTAATAGTCGTTTCTGCTGAATGATCGAAGTCGTACAAGCAAAATCCTATATCAAGTACAATTATAAAATCGGCTCTCGAGCTATGATATTAAGTAATTCAACTATAATCATAATTGTGCTACGAATAGTTTTAATTACTGCAACTTTTAGCGAAATTTCAATTGCTTTTTAAACAGATTAATCTTAAAAAATAAATGCCTTTCCAATCAAAATAAATTTAACGAAATTGACGAATAAATTCAAAGAGATGTCATACATTTGTTGATAAATCCACATACTAAACTTACAAAATACTTGCATGCTTTAAAATACAAAATCTACCCATTTACCTATTCAAAAACATTCTTAAAAAGCTTCAAAGATTTTTCTCATGCATTTCAATAATTTTTTTTTATCCGAAGACATCTTTCTCATTCTCCTAAAATTAATTTACGCTTCAATTTTTTGTAAAATATCAGTTATGCTGAGACGAACCAAAAAACTCATTGCACGTTTGCAAACGTTTCCTAGTCACCAGTTTCCATTCCTCTAAACTCACCCATGCGCATTAGTTACAAAAACGCTCAACGTCCATGACATAATGGCAGACAACTTCAATTTCGCATTTGCATTCCTTGGCGTTACTAAAATCTCCGGGCAGAATTAGTACCTCTTTCTATAACTGTATAGAAACACGGAAAATGTTTTCTATTTCTTAAAGGTTATAATTTATAAGGTATGTAGGAAGCTCTTTTTTACGTTACGAAACTTACCTCTTAGACTAGGACAAAATGCCTCAATTAAATTCGCTAAAACCAATAAAAATATAGTAAACTAATCTCTGAAAAATTTATCAACTTCTTATACAAGCGTATTACGATATAAAATTACTTTTAACATGTCAAAATACGGCATAATTTTTTACAGTTTTTGATCAAAAACTTTTCGTACAATACGGTATGACAGTGCCAGTGGTCCCTGTACTCGTCATTGTTTTGAAATATTTTACATCATCTTATTGGTTAAAATTGGTTTAGATTCTTTGGACTATTTTTTAACCAATAGGATCATGTAAAATATTTCAAAACAATGACAAATACATACACGGACCACTGTCATCCCGCATCGTACGCAGGAGGCTTATTGCAACAATGGAAAATGTTTATTTTTTATTGTTATTGTATTTATCAAACTCCACAATTATGATATAATAATTGTTGAATGCATATATGATACATAGTAATACACACTAAAAAATTTGCCCATGTCAGAAACAATTGGCTTTTGATTTGTACAATCATGACTATTCTCACTGCATAAAAATACTTTAAGTATGTCTAAGTATGAACATTTCCAAAAGACTGTAGCATTGCCACATAGCTACTACATAACTTTTGAGTATATAATACTTGTAGAAATGATAGACATATCATTTTTATGATGATGCTCAGTTAAGAACTCCAAAACATGTATATAACTGAAAATGTCAACAATTCATTAGCTACCATGCAATGACTATAATTCGTCTATGCAGTATTGTGTGAAAATATTATATTCAAATGACTTTCATTATAATTATCAAAATGGACTTAGCACACTGAAGTTGACCATGTTGAGGAATAATTGTTGATCATGCAACAATTCCAAATCCCAAATCCCAATCCTAAATCCCAAGGTTATAGCTAAAACACGTAAACGATCTAGTTCTAAAAAAACAATAAAACAACTCATCGACTCAGCGGCTCATTCAACTTTCTGCTTCTTCGTGCTTTTTCGTCTGAAGTTACTTCAGCGGCTCGTTTGACTTCCGGCTGTTTTTTTTGTTTAAAACAAGATAACATGCGGGGACTGTTTTCTGGCATTCGACACGTAACGTTAACAAAAAGTGTAATAATAGTGCGTTTTATTATGCGTTCCGTGTGTGTATTTGTGAATGTACGCTTTCCAAGCGTATTCGATCATAACTAAACGATACTGCACGCATATTCTGTGTCCTCGATTCGAAGTTATACGACACTGCACGCTTATTCTCTGTACTCGATCAACTAAACAAATGTACGCATATTCTGTGTACTCCGTCGAAGCTAAACAACTGCACGCATATTCTGTACACTCGGTCGAAGCTAAACGACACTGTGCGCATTTCAAAATTTAACAATGTAATTTATTACGCTACTAAAATGGGGATGGGCAATCGACGATTCACAGACTTTCCATTCTTCTCCTAAAAAAGTCATTGTTTTAAGTTAACCTGCGATGTTTTTTGCAGTCCTAGGCCTGCCGCCAATCTTCTGCTTTCATTTATAATTTTTTCCGGCCAAAATCACATGCAAAGTCACTCCTTTAGCTTGAGCAAACGCTTATAGCGAGCGTCTTGTTATATTCAAAGAAGCCTTGTTTATTGTAGTACGTGCGTGAAGAAACTCGCTAGAAACCTTTCGTGATTGGAACATTTTTTCAGGAAGGGGCTGTTTACATTAAAGCCGGGCTGGCGAGATCTCTCCACGATTACATTTCCTAATAAAAACTTCTGTGTGTTTATATTGACAGGCTTGGCCAGATTTCGTCGGGCGAGATCTCGCTTCGCGGCAAGCGGGATGAAATGCTCTCATATAGGACAAGTTTACCCGTTTACCAGGCTGTCTCGCTGAATGAGCCAGCCCGGCTCTCATATAAACAGCCCCTAAGACTGACACTCTGAATCAGCCGTCAATTCATTTGTTTGGGCCCATAATTGTTCCCTCAAGAAATTCTTCGTTTAGCTTCGCTCGCATTCTTAACGCGACACTCACAACTGGGAAACGAATAATATCCAAACAAAGCTAGGTAGCATTTGCGTGGCGGTGGCGCTCAATTCGCGCTATCTCGCCTCTTAAGGTTATCAAAGAGTAAGAAAACACCTTACAAGGAACTTACCAGTTTTTTTCACAGCAACAATTGTCGAATCTGAAGCTTGTTTGTTCGTTGTGTAACACAATCTGTGACGAGGATTGATTTCTTTCTCTCATCAGTCTCATGTGAAATATTCTCCTGTGATGCTTTATATGACCTTCAATTTCCTGTATTAACATGAAGCATTTTTTAACGGGCTATCTTTAAAACCAGGAACAGAGATTCGGAATCGAGGAAGGGAACGGGGAAGGGAAGAAGGAACAATAAAACAAGGAATGAGAATAGCCGGAATCTTTAAAAAAACTGGAACGAGGAAAACCGGAACCTTTGAAACAAGAAATGAGAAAAGTCGGAATCTTTACAACAAGGAATGAGAATTATTAAGAGTGAACTCTGGCAAATCCTGAGCAATCGTCAAAAATAGTGTGCTGCCTGGCTGGGGCTCGGCAGCAATAACTGATAATGTCAACAACTCACTATAGCTATACCATACAATGACTATAATTCGTCCATGCAGTATTCTGTGAAAATATTATATTCAAATGGCTTTCATTATATTGGACTTAGTAAGTGGACTTAGCACACTAAAGTTGAGCATGTTGAGGAATAATTGTTGATCATGCAACAAAAACCCCAGGTTAACTAAAACACCTAAACGATCTAGTTCTAAAAAACAATGAAACGACTCATCGACTCAACGCGTACGGCTCATTCAAATTCCTGCTTCTTCGTCTGAAGTTACTTCAGCGGCTCGTTCGACTTCCGGCTGTTTTTTTTCTTTTAAAACAAAATAACATGCGGGAACTGTTTTCTGGCATCCGACACGTTACGTTAACAAAGAGTGTAATAATAGTGCGTTATATTATGCGTTCAGAATTATCTGTGAATTTACGCTTTCTAAGCGTATTCGATCGTATATAGCTCAAGGATACTGCAGGCATATTCTGTCCTCGATTCGAAGTTCTACGACACTGCACGCGTATTCTTGGTACTCGATCAAAACTAAGGGAATGTACGAATATTCTGTGTGCTTGGTCGAAGCTAAACAACCGCACGCATATTCTGTACACTCGCTCGAAGCTAAACGACACTACACCATTTCAAAATTTAACAATATATATATTATAACTATATGTTACTAAAATGGGGATGGGCAGTCGACAATTCACAGAGTTCCCATGCAGTTTTTTCTTAAAGATAGTCATCGTTTTAAGTTGACCTGCATGCGATGTTTTTTGCAGGTCCTGCCGCCAATCTTCTGCTTTCATTTATAAACTTTTTCCGCTAAAATCACATGCAAAATCACTCATTTAGCTTAAGGAAACGCTTATAGCGAGCGTCTTGTTATATTCAAAGAAGCTTTGTTTATTGTAGTACGTGCGCGAAGAAACTCGCTAGAAGCTTTTCGTGATTGGAACATTTTTTCACGAAGGGGCTGTGGAATCCGGGCTGGCGAGATCTCACCACGAATACATTTCCCAATAAAAACTTTTGTGCGTTTTTATGGATAGGCTTGGCCAGATCCCGCACGGCGAGATCTCGCTTTGCGGCAAGCGGGATGAAATGCTCTCATGCATACATGTCTCGCTGACCGAGCCAGCCCGGCTGCCATATAAACAGCCCCTAAGACTGACAAACTCAAAACTGCCCGTCAATTCATTCATTTGGGTCCATATATAATTGTTCCCTCAAGAAATTCTTCGTTTAGCTTCGCTCGCATTCTTAACGCGACACTCACAACTGGGAAACGAATCATATATCCAAAGAAATCCTATAGGTAGTAATTTGCGTGGCGGTGGCGAGGAATTCGCGCGATCTCGCCTCTTAAGGTTTCCAAAGAGTAAGATCAAACCTTCCAAGAAACATACCAGTTTTTTTCACAGCAAGAATTGTCGAATCTCAATCTTGTTTGTTCGTTCGTTGTGTAACATAATCTGTGACGACGACTGACTTCTCTCATGTGAAATTCTCATGTGATGCTTTACATGACCTAAGCATTTTTCAATTGGCTATCTTTAAAACCAGGAACGGGGAATCGAGGATGGGAACGGGGAAGGAAAGAGGAACGATAAGACAAGGAATGAGAAAAGCCGGAATCTTTAAAAAAACTGGAACGGGAAAAACCGGAATCTTTATGAAACAAGGAATGAGAAAAGCCGGAATCTTTAAAACAAGGGATGAGAATTATTAAGGACCTCGTCTATTAGGAACTAAGTGAGCAATTGAATAAGTGCTCTTGAGTAGCTCAGTTTTTTTTTAGGGAAAGTTTGATGCTCACATGAGCCAAAGGCTATGCTGCCATGCAGGCTACTGAATCATCCGAGCATGTACTGCATGATTAATCACTTGAATACCAAAATTGCGCAAGAAATTTTCGGCAATTTGTCAAAATAAGCACAGATATAATGTAAATTTTGTATAATTTTACTATATATTGACAAATTACCGAAAAATTTCTCGCGTAATTTTAGGTCGCTGTGTTAAACACTATTGGTTAAATTTGCATGAAATAAAAAATTCGAACTAAAAGAGTTTGTCTGTCATGCCGCACAAGAATGAGATGAAAGCGAAATTATGGATGGTTTCAGTTAGTATTTTCAATCTCACAGCGGGGCTGATTTCACACTAATGAGTATTACTTGGAAATTAATGCTGCTTCCACGCACAAATGACATATTCAAAGTTCAAACTAAAACTTCCTCTGAAAAACAATTGCAATGTTTTGAACCCATTACTTCGTTATTCAGTATTAATATAAACTAAAAACTACTAGCTTGAGTTATATATTATATATAGTTATAATAACAATGCATTTTTTTATATTTATAATTGTAATTCCATTACATAGATGATACATCGTACATCAGTATAAGTTGAAAATTGTTTTATGTTTATAACAGGAAATTGAGGTATTTTAATTAGGGTCAAGTAAGTATCACATGATCATTTCGCAATGATTAAGTCAGTCGTCTTCACAGATTGTGTTACACATGCATCGGGAACACACAAGAGTTAAGATTTGACAATTGTTGCTGTGAAAACCACTGGTAAGTTTCTTGTAGGGTTTGTTCTTAGACAATTGTAGATAATTGTAGACTCTTAGACAACTGTAAGATGCGATATCGCACGAATTCAGCGCCACCGCCAGGCAAATTGGTCCGTATCGTTTTTGTTAAATTTGGATCAGTATTATTCGCTTCCAAGTGGCGAGTGTCGTGTTTAAAATGCCAGCAAAGCTAGCGAAGAATTTCTCAAGGGGACAAATGGACGCACTCCGAGTTTGTCTGATCTCGTAAGAACTCGATTTCAATGAATGAATGTTTCAATAACCAAGAGTTTCTCCGCGAACGAACTGCATGCAAGTACGATAAACAAGGCTTCTTTGAATATAACAAGACGCCTAGTCTGGCGTTAACGTCGGGGCGCGTACGAGTCTTTTCACTACAAAGCTTCCAATCATAAACACTATAGTTCATAATCACTTAGAAGCGTTGCGAACCTTAATTTTGTTCGATGTTTAGATAGCACATCGTACTTCAAGAAGCATAGAAGCTAAAAAATTTAAATAAACCATATGTTTATACATGCATGCATACGGGCATTACTGCCACTATATTGTCTTAAACTTTCGAATTCGGGCTTATATTTATCACTTTTGTTCATATGACAACCTTATAACTTATATTAGCGTCAAATATATGATGTGTTCATGCTGTCCATGCTGTGTTGGTGCTTGATCGTATAATTCGTGTTCTTCTTCAATCGTGTGTGACCGCTGTGACGTGTCATCACGCCATACACGATCACATCTAAACTGTAAAATAGCAACGATATTACCTATCTATTTATTATAATAGAACCGAATTCCACATGTATTAAAAATTATTACCCCATTTAAACCTAAAATGAGTCCAAAAGCATTAAAAGAACGGTTTATTCCTCATATAAACTCATAATTTAGTACAAATGCCTCGTGAAGGTGTTGCCGTATCATGTGACATGTGCATGAGCAAAATGAAATCGCAATATCGGAAATCGCACTTCAACTATAACGAAACAAAAAGTGTATCGTAGATAAATACAGTGACATATGATCTTCAGCGAACGTCGGGTCGAATGTCGTCTCAAGCCCTGGGTACAAATTGGCCGATAGCTTTGAATTAAATATATATTTCATGCCAAAACACACTTGCCACGACGAAATAACAAAATTCCTTCCCCACAGATCGCAGTGGGGCGAGATTGAAATTGTTTGAAATGTGTTTAAACGAAATGCGCATGCCCAGTTAGGGATGGGCTGATAATATATTTCAAAATCAGGCATAGAAGAGTACAGCAGGTTCGCAGAGGTCGAGGTTTTGAGTCTTATGCATACGTAAGAGTCTGGTCATAACGAAACCCTAACTTGAAATTTTCTCCATGTAAGTTCAGGTAATATCAGAACACAACAATCAACAATCCTACAATGAATTTATTTATTTTTTATCAATAGATTCTTTGAGTGGTTACTTCACAACAAGAGGCCAGCCTGTGTGGCTATCTACTGAAAGAACCGAATTCCATTATATTAATTTACTTGAGTACATCGAGTCATCGACGATGTTGTGAATAATTGGGAGGAATGTTTATTCATATATTCAATTCTGCTCGACGGATTTCTTCAGTAAGCTATTGCAGTTACAAAGGAAATCCGTTGGGCAGAACTGAATATATGAATAATCACATCCCCAATTATCCTCCCAGTTTCGGCCCTGACCACTGGGTCGAGACATTCCTGCTCCTCATTCGATACTTCGAACGCGAAATGACGTCATTCATGATCAAAGCAGCGCGGCCTCTCTTTTTGTAAATCATGGATGGAAGTCTCTCACTTCGCCCAGTCTCAGTGTCATACATGATGACGTCATTTAATGCCTGATCATTCTTATCCTGACCGCCAATAACGATAATCATATTAGCCCAAGTGACTGTGGACATGACACTGTGGGTGTGAGGGCAGGAAATTGATCTCGCTTGTCTGCGTAGACAGTTGTTGCAGGTAAGAAATAGTGTATTCTGCGTAAATGGTGTATTCGTTATATAAGTAAAATAGTGTATTCTGCGTAAATGGTGTATTCGTTATATAAGTAAAATAGTGTATTCTGCGTAAATGGTGTATTCGTTATATAAGTAAAATAGTGTATTCTGCGTAAATGGTGTATTCGTTATATAAGTAAAATAGTGTATTCTGCGTTAAGTACATTATTAGAAACCATGTGCACTGTATGCATGTCTGTTCTAATTACAAAAGGGATTGAAACACCACCTAACTAAAATAATTTTAATAGTGATCAACCAGAAACCGGAGTTAGTCGCCAGAAGGAGCCTCCTAGAACTGTGTTAAAACAATGTGTTGACCAAGTCTCTTCCATTAGATTAAGTTTTTCGCTATGTCCTAGAAATGCGTGTTTCAATTTGGTTATACTTTGAAATTCGATTTAGACGTAACCTTCCTTTTTCCTTTTCTCAAGTGGTACTGTAAGATCCTTGTGCCAAAGATCAAATTCCCTCAAGGTTATGGCGTGACTAGCAAGCAAGTCAGAGTGAAGTGAAGGTAAACAATTAAACTGCTTAGCTTGGCTTTGCCTTGAGGAAAGATTAATTGAATTGTTTCTTACGGCCCCGAAAGCAAATCTTAAACACGGTTTATAAAACCTAAATCGGAATTATTCGCAACGAATCAACATATGGTTATCATGGTAAAACACGTCAAAAGTTAACATAATTTATAATGCATGCAGCCAATCTCGCCGCTTGAAAATGTCATTGTAGAGCAAATATTACATGCAGTAAACTTTATGTGTACCGGAACGATAACTGGGCCGCGCCGACAAAAGCAATAGGAAAGGACTGGAACTGGTAATTCGTCTTCGAATCATGCTCGTTCTCAGGTTTTTCGCGTAATGTGTGCGCCAAAAGCATTGGGAAAATCAATGCCGACAGCGATCTGATAGGTTAGTTTGCGGTGTGTCTTAGCCATAGAAAAGTCACGCTGACTCACGGATTTTGTACAAGGAGTTACAGATGTGTAGTCCTGTGACATCTTTGTTTGTTTTGGATGTGTTACGGTGACACATAAATCACTATCACTATGAATGATCTGTTATATGCGTTAAATACAATTACTAATCACCAGGAATATGTTGGATCTATAACTTAGCATCAAATGTGGTATAACAACTGCCTAAAATAGACATATAGGACAAGCGTATTTTTTGGAGATTTGAACACAATCGCTAAAAATACACCCATAACGGCCACCGTAATTTTTTTACTTCCCGCGACCAATCAGATCACAGTCGGCATTGAATTTACCAGGGCTTTTGGCACACGCAGTACGCGAAAAGCCTGGCAACGATAATGCCTTCAAATTGGCTTCAAAGATGGCGGCCAAATAACCATCAGCTATCCTCCCAGGTTTATAGAGTTCAGTGATTACATGCGATAAATCATTACTGTTCCTGATTACGGTACACGAATTTGATCTGTGCGATGACCATCATGCATATGGTTTGTCTTTCATTCGCGATAATTAATGAACTTCCGAGGCGATATTATGCATCATCGCGCAATTCACCAGGCTAAGGCCTGGTTCATACGTTGCATTTTGGTCGCGTCGAATGCAATTCAAACAATAGATAATTAGATGATAGTATATTAATGAAGCTGAAGGTTTACCATCTTATTATCTATTGCTTGAATTGCAGTCGACGCGACCAAAATGCGACGCATGAACTAGGCCTAAAGGAAATTTATTTTCAATTTAGGACAGTATAAAAGAGTTAAGAAAGCAGTTTCAGAAAATAATGATGATGATGATGAACCAAGCATTTCAAGGAAATAATTC